AGCGGTTTTGAGTGAGTTTCTTAATCCTGAGTTCTAGTTTGATTGCACTGTGGTTTGAGAGACAGTTTGTTATAATTTCTGTTCTTTTACATTTGCTGAAGAGTGCTTTACTTCCAACTATGTGGTCAATTTTGGAATAAGTGTGATGTGGTGCTGAGAAGAATGTATATTCTGTTGATTTGGGGTGGAGAGTTCTGTAGATGTCTATTAGGTCTGCTTGGTGCAGAGCTGAGTTCAATTCCTGGATATACTTGTTAACTTTTTGTCTTGTTGATCTGTCTAATGTTGACAGTGGGGTGTTAAAGTCTCCCATTATTATTGTGTGGGAGTCTAAGTCTCTTGGTAGGTCTCTAAGGACTTGCTTTATGAATCTGAGTGCTCCTGTATTGGGTGCATATATATTTAGGACAGTTAGCTCTTCTTGTTGAATTGATCCCTTTACCACTATGTAATGGCCTTCTTTGTCTCTTTTGATCTTTGTTGGTTTAAAGTCTGTTTTATCAGAGATGAGAATTGCAACCCCTGCATTTTTTTGTTTTCCATTTGCTTGGTAGATCTTCCTCCATCCCTTTATTTTGAGCCTATGTGTGTCTCTGCATGTGAGATGGGTCTCCTGAATACAGCACACTGATGGGTCTTGACTCTTTATCCAATTTGCCAGTCTGTGTCTTTTAATTGGAGCATTTAGCCTATTTACATTTAAGGTTAATATTGTTATGTGTGAATTTGATCCTGTCATTATGATGTTAGCTGGTTATTTTGCTCGTTAGTTGATGCAGTTTCTTCCTAGCATTGATGGTCTTTACAATTTGGCATGTTTTTGCAGTGGCTAGTACCAGTTGTTCCTTTCCATGTTTAGTGCTTCCTTCCGGAGCTCTTGTAAGGCAGGCCTGGTGGTGACAAAATCTCTCAGCATTTGTTTGTCTGTAAAGGATTTTATTTCTCCTCCATTTATGAAGCTTAGTTTGGCTAGATATGAAATTCTGGTTTAAAAATTCTTTTCTTTAAGAATGTTGAATATTGGCCCCCACTCTCTTCTGGCTTGTAGAGTTTCTGCCAAGAGATCGGCTCTTAGTCTGATGGGCTTCCCTTTGTGGGTAACCTGGCCTTTCTCTCTGGCTGCCCTTAACATTTTTTCCTTCATTTCAACTTTGGTGAATTTGACAATTACGTGTCTTGGAGTTGCTCTTCTCGAGGAGTATCTTTGTGGCGTTCTCTGTATTTCCTGAATTTGAACATTGGCCTGCCTGGCTAGGTTGGGGAAGTTCTCCTGGATAATATCCTGAAGAGTGTTTTCCAACTTGGTTCCATTCTCCCTGTCACTTTCAGGTACACCAATCAGACATAGATTTGGTCTTTTCACATAGTCCCATATTTCTTGGAGGCTTTGTTCATTTCTTTTCACTCTTTTTTCTCTAAACTTCTCTTCTCACTTCATTGCATTCATTTGATCTTCAGTCACTGATACCCTTTCTTCCACTTGATCAAATCGGCTACTGAAGCTTGTGCATGCATCACGTAGTTCTCATGCCATGGTTTTCAGCTCCATCAGTTCATTTAAGAACTTCTCTACACTGTTTATTCTAGTTAGCCATTCATCTAATCTTTTTTCAAGGTTTTTAGCTTCTTTGCAATGGGTTCGAACATCCTCCTTTAGCTCGGAGAAGTTTGTTATTACTGATCGTCTGAAGCCTTCTTTTCTCAACTCGTCAAAGTCATTCTCCATCCAGCTTTGTTCCGTTGCTGGTGAGGAACTGCGTTCCTTTGGAGGAGAAGAGGTGCTCTGATTTTTAGAATTTTCAGCTTTTCTGCTCTGGTTTCTTCCCATCTTTGTGGTTTTATCTACCTTTGATCTTTGATGATGGTGACATACAAATGTGGTTTTGGTGTGGGTGTCCTTTCTGTTTGTTAGTTTTCCTTCTAACAGTCAGGACCGTCAGCTGCAGGTCTGTTGGAGTTTGCTGGAGGTCCATTCCAGACTTTGTTTGCCTGGGTATCACCAGCAGAGGCTGCAGAACAGCAAATATTGCAGAACGGCAAATGTTGCTGTCTGGTCCTTCTTCTGGAAGCCTCTCTCAGAGGGGCACCCGGCTGAGAGGTGTCAGTCGGCCCCTATTGGGAGGTGTCTTCCAGTTAGGCTACTTGGGGGTCAGGGACCCACTTGAGGAGGCAGTCTGTCCGTTCTCAGATCTCAAACTCTGTGCTGGGAAAAGCACTACTCTCTTCAAAGCTGTCAGACAAGGACGTTTAAGTCTGCAGAAGTTTCTGCTGCCTTTTGTTCAGCCATGCTCTGCCCCCAGAGGTGGAGTCTACAGAGGCAGGCAGGCCTCCTTGAGCTGTGGTGGGCTCCACCCGGTTCGAGCTTCCAGGCCGCTTTGTTTACCTACTCAAGCCTCAGCAATGGTGGACGCCCCTCCGCCAGCCTCGCTGCCACCTTGCAGTTCAATCTCAGACTGCTGTGCTACCAGTGAGTGAGGCTCCATGGGCATTGGACCCTCCGAGCCAGGCATGGGATATAAACTTCTGGTGTGCCATTTGCTAAGGCCTTGGAAAAGCGCAGTATTAGGGTGGGAGTGTCTGATTTTCCAGGTACCGTCTGTCACAGCTTCCCTTTGCTAGGAAAGGGAATTCCCTGACCCCTTGTGCTTCCCAGGTGAGGTGATGCCCTGCCCTGCTGCATGGGCTGCACCCACTGTCTGACAAGCCCCAGTGAGATGAAGCCAGTACCTCAGTTGGAAATGCAGAAATCACCCATCTTCTGTGTCGCTTATACTGGGAGCTGCAGACTGGAGCTCTTCCTATTCAGCCATCTTGGAACCTCCCCTCTGAGCTAATTTTTAAATTTTTATTTTTATTTTTATTTATTTATTTATTTAAGACAGTCTTGCTCTGTTGCCCAGGTTGGAGTGTAACGGCATGATCTTGGCTCACTGCAACCTCTGTCTCTGAGGTTCAAGCGATTCTTGTGCCTCAGCCTCTTAAGTAGCTGGGATTATAGGCACGTGCCACCATGCCTGGCTAATGTTTGTATTTTTAGTAGAAACAGGGTTTCACCATATTGGCCAGACTGGTCTCAAACTCCTGGCCTCAAGTGATCCACCTGCTTTAGCCTCCCAAAGTGCTGGGATTACAGGCGTGAGCCAATGTTGAGTCAATGCTGCTGGCCCTAATTTTATGTTTAATAGAGACAAGGTCTTGCTATGTTGCCCAGGCTGGTCTTGAACTCCTGAGCCCAAGTGATCCTCCTGCCTCAGCCTCCCAAAGTGCTGGGATTACAGGCATGAGTCACCACACTTGGCTAAGGATCACTTTTTAATACTCTGCTTCATAATACATATAAAGAGAATTACTATCATTTCATCTGACAATTGTGTAAAAATATTATGTAAGCAGCAGAAAACGCCTGTGGAGTGGTATAAAATGCAGAAAGAATGTCATCGGGTGTCCAACCACTGTGTTCCCACACTGGAGGGAAAACCGCCTACATGGGACTTTGAGACTTGATTAGGATCTCCACCATAGTGCCTCCCAAAGGGATCTTCAAAAGTAATTTTTAACGTATGTGGGTTTGTTTTGTTTTTGCCTGTGAGCAGACTTCAGATCTCAGCTCTCCTGCATAACTTTTTTTTTTGAGACAGAGTCTCACTTGTCGCCCAGGCTGGAGTGCAGTGGCATGATCTCAGCTCACTGCAACCTCTGCCTCCCAGGTTTAGGTGATTCTCCTGCCTCAGCCTCCCAAGTAGCTGGGATTACAGGTGCCTGCCACCATGCCCAGCTACTTTTTTTTTTTTTTAGTAGAGATGGGGTTTCACCATTTTGGCCAGGCTGATCTCGAACTCCTGACCTCAAGTGATACACCCACCTCAGCCTCCCAAAGTGCTAGGATTACAGGCATTATCCTGTATAACAACTTTGCATGTGCTAGTCACACTTCAGGGACAGCTGCCCTCCCTGGCCTAGCTCTCTGTGGATCAGCTCAAGACCAATTTCACTTGATAAGAATCCAATACTCTCTAAGTGCAAAGAAGTCTCCATCTTTTTGCTAGAAAGTTCTGAAGAATGTGATCCTGTTACGTGGACCTACCAGGTTCATGAGCTAGAGAGCTGCAAAGGTATCCTTGTGTAGAAGGTAAAATGGACATTTTTAAATGGGTGGCAAACCTTCTCCCTGGTGTTTCACCTTCAACCTGGCCTCCTTTTCCTTTCATGAGTAACAAAACTTGAAAATGTACACGTGTGTATGTAGCCTTTTCAGTCTTAGAAGTTATGGTCACACTTCATATTATAAATTCTAGCTGTGAACACATTCATCACTTATAAGTGAATTATATTAGTAGCCTCGATTATGGGTCCACAAAAGAATGAGGCAGTATAGTATACGGTTAACAATCATCTCTGGTATTTGGGATATTTAGGCTCAAATACCATAGCTCTGCATTTTTTTATTTTTTATTTTTAAATTTTTTTTGAGGTGGGGTCTCACTCTGTCACCCAGGCTGGAGTGCAGTGGCACAATCATGGCTCACTGCAGCCTTGACCTCGTTCCTCGGCCTCCTGAGTAGCTGGGACTGCAGGCACACATCACCACACCCGGCTAGTTTTTGTATTTTTTTGTAGAAATGGGGTTTCGACACATTGCCCAGACTGATCTCGAACTCCTGAGCTCAAGCAATCCACCCAACTTGGCCTCCCGAAGTGCTAGGATTACAGGCATGCACTACACTGCCTGGCCTGCAATTTTTTTTTTTTTTTAAATCTGTGCAAACTTGGGCACATTATTTGAACTGTCTAAGCTTTATTTTTTTTTTCCTCATTTGTACAATGAGATAAGAATCCTACCTTATTGGGTTGGTGTATTTATCAGGGTAATGTATGTAAAGGCCTTAGCATAGCATCCAGCACAGAATAAAGACTGTTGTTGGCTATTAATAATAATAAAAAAATTCTCTGAGCGGCTAAGATATATCATGAATCAATCACTTTTGCTCAGAGACAACCCATTAGGCCCACACTCTGGGTCTACATACTTTTATTCTTGACAGAAATGGTTTACGGCGGCATAGCCATAGTTTTGACAGGGAGAGTCATTTGGTTTCCCAAGATCTAGCACAACAGGAACCCCTATGATCTCATGGCAGGGACTGGCTAGGACCAAGGCAACTGTCAGTAACAAAAGGAACAATGGATGGAATAGAACAAATCAAACAAAGCAAGGGCTCGATGTTAGGAATCCGAGGGTATTTAGAAACGGGAAAGGCAACCTTACATTCCTCGAGTCCCTGAAGGCACCACTGTAGTACAGAATAGTACAGTAATTCATGTTGATGGTGAAGTGTGCCTCAGCCTTCCAGAGACAATTTACGTATATTCACTATTTTAAAATAGGCAGAGAACCAATTTTCTATTACCAGGCAAGCACTTCAAAAAAAGGTTAAGATCAACATTTTAGTGCTTGAAGACAGGGGAATTTCAGTTACATGTAAAATCCCCTTGGATAAAACAAGTTAGCTTCCAAAAAAACTACTAAGCGTCACTATGTTTAAAATGCTTAGGCCGGGCGCGGTGGCTCACGCCTGTAATCCCAGCACTTTGGGAGGCCGAGACGGGCGGATCACGAGGTCAGGAGATCGAGACCATCCTGGCTAACACGGTGAAACCCCGTCTCTACTAAAAAATACAAAAAACTAGCCGGGCGAGGTGGCGGGCGCCTGTAGTCCCAGCTACTCGGGAGGCTGAGGCAGGAGAATGGCGTGAACCCGGGAGGCGGAGCTTGCAGTGAGCTGAGATCCGGCCACCGCACTCCAGCCTGGGTGACAGAGCGAGACTCCGTCTCAAAAAAAATAAAAAAATAAAAATAAAAATAAAAAAATTAAAAAAAAATAAAATGCTTAAATTAATTCTGCAAATCAGTACTGTATAAATTAACCACTATCACCTGCAAAAGACAGTGGCTACTTAACTTTGGTACCAAGAATCAGGGTCAGCTTGCCTGTGATACTGTAACGAATGAAATGTGTTGTTTCCTGATATGCCCCTTTCAAATCATGATCCAAAGAGGTGCAGTGAAAAACAACAGACAAAAACCAACAACAAACAAGACTTCCCACTTATACTCTTCTCGACGATGCAGTTTGTGGAGAATTCTCCCCGTCTCTGTGCTCAAGATTCCTTGATGGTAAAATGAGGGAGTCTGGACTAGTTGATCTTCAAGGTCCCATCCAGCTTGGATGTTTTGGGATAAAGTCACCTGACCCAACTAACAGGTACCCAGTGAGTGTCCTTGCTCAGCTTCTCTAAGACCACTTTGAGCTGGCTGTAGGCACCCTGGAGATCCTCCTTCACCAGCACGGCGTCTACCAGGTGCCCGTAATGCTGGTCTATGAAGGCGGCGGAAGCGGCCATCTCTTGCTGCTGCTCATCCTGCAAGGAAAGGGATGGTAAAAGGAGCAACTGGGTTGTTCTCCTATAACAAACCTATAACCTTTGTCTTGAGCAATGTTCCAACCTTTAAGCGATGAGTGGATGACTAGGTCTCACTGATAAACCAACCGTGTACACAAGAACAGAGCGTAGGGACAACATCACGTCAAACTTCAAAGAAAGTTAATGGGCAGTAGACACAATCACTGTTCAGTCACTCACTCACAGGATACCTCCTGAGGACCTATGACCTCAAAGCCATGATAGGAAGTGCATTGGGAATGCTGATTCTATATCCGTGTATATATGTCAATATCACACTTCCTGCCTCAGAAGTACTTCCAAAGAAGTAGTAGTATTGTGCTGCATGGCATTTGGTACACAGGTTAAATAATTATAAGAAAGAACTATAAATAATAACTATATAAAAACAGAGCAAACATTTCTGCAATCAACTAGTGGAAGAAGAAATCATTCTAATGCCCTCCTGAAGACTCCTAAATTCATAGTGTAGAACTAAATTCTTTTCATTTCCTCACACCAGAGCCAAACACTAGCACAGCAAAGTGGAGTTATTTAAGAAAGCACTGGACAATTCTAATCAAATTCCCCATGTCCTTAGGGCAGCTGATCTCTTTAATCAGACTGCCTTCCTGACACCTAACATTAAGGTATAGGCAACGACTCCATCTTACCCAATGTGGGCACTGTTTGCATCTCCATTCAAAAGAACCTCTAATAAGTACCAGTTCGGGTGAGTAGTTGTCTGACAATCTGCCTGGTTCTGGAAAACAGGAAAGTGGCAGGCCCTTTCTAAGTAAAACTATAAAATGAAATTTGTTGCTGGCATTCACTCATTCCCCTTTTTAGTCCTCTGTTGCCATCTCCCCTCTGTTTCTAGGGGCTCAGTGTTTTCATGCTGCCACAGGGAAAGGGTGAGTTCTGTTCTCTCCCAAAGAGACGTACATTCCAAAATATTCCCCCGTCTTCTCTCTGCCACCAGTCAAAAGCCAATTCCTACTTTAGTGAGAGCATCTGAAATTTCAGGATTCGAGTCCTCAAGATCTAGGAAAAGGGTGTGGCGTGCTACTTCAAAGACAGTTGAAATGTGCTATCTAAGAAGGCTGAGATAATTTCTTCTCCTTTTCTCCTCCAGGAGGGAAAAAACTGGATTAAATTGGGAGACATTTCTCAATTCTATATTCCATATAGAATATTCTCGCAGGGCTACTTTCATACTCAGAAGCACTTCGCACTATCCCATAACTGCCCCCTGGCTCTTCAACCCCTCCTTCCCCACTCCCTGACACACATCCATCCTATAGACCTGTCTGCTGCTTCCAGTTTCCCCTCCTCCAGGCACCCACATGGTTCATCCTGGAAGCATTTGGCTAGTTAAGAAATTAAAGCAGAAAAAATTTTGCCACAAAGAACCACAATCTTCCTAATAAATATCTGCATCCGGAAAGAACTTAAGTAAATCTCTAATGGAGTAAAAACATGTGATATTTGCTTTGCAATCATAAATCCCCTGAACCCCTTTCCTGGCCTGTAAAGATGGAACTCGCCACCTGTGTCTTCAGCAAGAGTCACAGTCCCGAAGATCACATAGGAAAGATTCCCCCATGCTGTCCATCACCCCCAGGCTGGATTAGCTTTGCTGGGTCAGAAGCCAGAAGCCTCATTAACTTGTGGTCAGCAAGGAAACAGACAGAGGATGTTTTGGGTCCCCTGCCAGGAACTCAGGTGCCAGACAATGGACAGATATTTAACGTTACACAAAACCCATGCCTTTGTGAGGAATTTTTCCAAATGTCATCTGGGGTCTGCCAACATACATCAAAACCACATGAAAGGCTGAGTGTTAAAAACGGAGTGCCTGGGCCCCACTCCAAATCCCCTAGGTCGGAATCTCTGGGAGTAGAACCGGGGACTCTGTGTTGAACAGCCTCACTGTGACCTTGCTGCCTACTCACAGCTGCAGGGTGGTGGAGCACGAACGGACCAGCTGCATTTCATCATCAGCCCACCTGCTTGGAATGCAGTATTCTGGTGGGCAATAAAAGAGATGGGATAGACGACAAAACCGGCCAGGCTGGAAGGACACTGGGAATAGAGTGCAGCTGCTTCTCTTGAAATAACCACCATGGGCCAGGGAGGGTTCTGACTCCTAGAAAGCTGGCACTGCCTGTGGACCTGATTATTTGGCAGAGCTTTCCTTGAGTCCTAGGAAGCTCCCTCTTACTCTCCTAATGAATTCTTGACTCTTGGAAAAATGAGCCATTTCCCCCCGCTTATTCAATCTTGAAATATTTGCAAAACAAAACAAAGCCAATACAGTAAAACGAATGGGCAGATTGATCCTAAAATTCATATGGCAATGCAAAGGACCCAGAATAGCCAAAACAAGCTTGAAAAACCTGACTTCAAAACGTACTACAAAGCTAGTAATCGAAGCAAGACGGTGTGGTGCTGGCCTAACAATAGACATGTAGACCAGTGGAAAGGGACTGAGACTCTGGAAAGAAACCCTTACTTTTCTTGCCAATTGATTCTAGACAAGGGTGTCAAAATAATTAAATGAGAAAATAGTTTTTTCAACCAGTGATGCTGGGGTAACTGGCTATCCACATGCAAAGAATGAAGCTGGACCCCTACTTCACACAATCCACAGAAAATAACACAAAATAGATGACAGATCCAAATGTAACTGCTACAACTATAAATAATTTAAAAGAAAACAAAGGAGTAAATCTTTATGACCTTGGATTCAACAATGATTTCTTAGATACGATACCAAAAATATAAGCAACAAAAGAAAAAATACATTGGACTTTATCACATTTTAAAATGTTATGCCTCAAAGGACGCTATCAAGAAAGTAAGGGCCAGGCATGGTGCCTTCCCAGCACTTTGGGAGGCCGAGGCAGGCAGATCACCCAAGGTCAGGAGTTTGAGACCAGCCTGGCCAACATGGTGAAACCCCATCTCTACTAAAAATACAAAAAAAAATTAGCCGGGCGTGATGGCATGCGCCTGTAATCCCAGCTACTTGGGGGTTGAGGCAGGAGAATCACTTGAACCTGGGAGGCGGAGGTTTCAGTGAGCCAACACCGCACCATTGCACTCCAGCCTGGGCAACAAGAGCAAAACTCTGTCTCACAAAAAAAAAAAAGAAAGTGAAAAGACAACTCACAGAATGGGAAAAAATATTCGCAAATCATGCATCTGACAAAGGACTTGTATCCAAAATAGATAAAGAATTCTTACAACTCAATAATAAGAAATGGACATTTAAAAATGGACAAAGTATTTGAATAGACATTTCTCCAAGAAAGATATAAAAATGGCCAATAAACACATGAAAAGATGTTCAGCTTCACTGATGATTAGAGAAATGCAAATCAAAAGCACAATGAGATACCACTTCACACCTACTAGTAGTGCTATGATTAAAAAGACAGACAATAACAAGGGCTGGTGAGGATGTGGAGAAATGGGAACTCTTGAACGCTGCTGCTGGGAATGTAAAATGGTACAGCTGCCATGGTAGAGTCTGGCAGTTCCCCCAAATGTTAAACATAGAGCTGCCCTATGACCCAGCAATTCCATACCAAGGTATACACCCAAGAGAAATGAAAACATACGTTCACACAAAAACTTGTATATGAATATTCATAACATGATTCATAATAGCTGAAAATCCATAAATGTCCATTAATTGATAAATGGGTAAACAAAATGTGGTACTCTATACAATGGAATATTATTCAGCCATAAAAAAAAAAAGAATGAATTACTGATACATGAATGAACCTTAAAAACATTATACTAAGTGAAAAAAGCCAGATACAAAAGGTCTTATATTGCATGAATCCATTTATATGAAATGTTTAGAATAGACAAATTTATAGTGACCGTAGATTAGCAGTTGCCTGTGGCTAGGAAGGGACTGGAGGAAAACAGATAATGGGAAATTCTAACGGGCTCAAGGTTTCTTTCTGAGGTGATGAAAATGCTCTTAAATTGACTGTGGTAGTTGCAACAACTCTGTGAATACATCATTGAATTGTATGCTTTAAATGGGTGAATTGTACAGTACGTAAATTTTATCTCAATAAAGCTGTTAACTCCCCCTCCAAAAAACACACAGTAAATACACAAAACAAAAATTAGTTAAGAGCCTCAGGGAGAATTGCCTTTAGCATTTTAGTGTATTTTGTGTGTAACACAAAATTAGAATCCTGATTTTTTTATTTTCTGATTTTTTCTTGTATTTAGCTATGTCATCAAATATTCCTCCAACACATGGCTTTTATGTATTTAGTTAGTTAGTTATTATTTTTTTTGAGACAGAGTCTTGCTTTGTTGCCCAGGCTGGAGAATAGTGGCGCGATCTCAGTTCACTGAAAACTCTGCCTCCCAGGTTCAAGTGATTGTCCTGCCTCAGCCTCCCAAGTAGCTGGAATTACAGACGCCTGCCACCACGCCCAGCTAATTTTTGTATTTTTAGTAGAGACGGGGTTTCACCATGTTGGCCAGGCTGATCTCAAACTCCTGACCTCTGGTGATCCACCCACCTAGGCCTCCCAAAGTGCTGGGATTACAGGCGTGAGCCACCACATCCGGCCCCAACATATGGCTTTTAACTGGCTACAATAATATTTCAATACATCCCGTAAGTGTCATGTAATGGAGTATATTGAACTGAGTCCTGATAGTGAACATTTAGGTTGTCTCTGATTTTTTTGTTATGTGATAGGCATACTGTACGTTTCTGTTTTTTGTTTTTGAGATGGAGTTTCACTCTTGTTGCCCAGGCTGGAGTGCAGTGGCGCAATCTTGGCTCATTGCAACCTCTGCCTCCAAGTTCAAGCAATTCTCCTGCCTCAGGCTCGCAAATAGCTGGGATTACAGGCATGTGCCACCATGCCCAGCTAATTTTTTGTATTTAGTAGAGATGGGGTTTCACCGTGTTGGTCAGGTTGGTCTCAAACTCCTGACCTCAGGTGATCCACCCGCCTTGGCCCTCCAAAGTGTTGGGATTACAGGTGTGAGCCATTGCACCCAGTCAATACTGTATGTTTCTAAATGATTCTAAACTTAAGCTGATACTCCCCTTAGAGTTCCTTGTGTGTGTGTGTTTTTTTTTTAGACAGAGTCTTGCTCTCTTGCCCAGGCTAGAGTGTGCAGTGGCGTGATTTCGGCTCACTGCAGTCTCTGCCTCCTGGGTTCAAGTGTTTCTCCTGTCTCATCCTCCCGAATAGCTGGGATTACAGGCATGCGCCACCATACCTGGTGTAATATACAAAATAATTTTTGTATTTTTAGTATGAGACGGGGTTTCGCCATTTTGGCCAGGCTGCTCTCAAACTCCTGACCTTAGGTAATCCGCCTGCTTTGGCCTCCCAAAGTGCTGGGATTATAGGCGTGAGCCACCATGCCAGCCTCCCCCTTAGAGTTTCTAAAGGAGAAAATTTCTTTTCCTTTTTTTTCTTTTTTGGAGACAGTCTCACTCTGTCATGCAGGCTGAAATGCAGTGGCATGGTCATGGCTCACTGCAGCCTTGACCTATTAGGCTCAAGTGATCCTCCCACTCCCATCTCAGTCTCCTGAGTGGCTAGGACTATAGGTGTGTGCCACCACACCTGGCTAATTTTTGTAATGTTTTTGTAGAGACAGGGTTTCACCAAGTTGCCCACGCTGGTTTTGAATTCCTGGGCTCAAGCAATCTGCCCACCTCAGCCTCCCAAATTGCTGAGATACAGGTGTGAGCCACCGTACCAGGCCAAGGAGAGAATTTCTAATGTTCCTTGTATGTATGCCATTCTAAATAATTTATTGAGACCAGGTATGGTCAGACTTTGGGAAGCTGAGGCAGGAGGATCACTTGAGGCCAGGAGTTTGAGACCACCCTGGGCAGCACAAGACACCCTGTCTCTGTAATTTTTTTTTTTAATTGGCTGGGTGTTGGTGGTACATGCCTGTAGTCCCAGCTACTTAGGAAGCTGAGGAAGGAAGACTGCTTGAGCCCAGGAGTTCAAGGCTGCAGTGAGCCATGATTATACCTCTGCACTCCAGTCTGGGCAATACAGCAAGATCCTGTCCTAAAAAAAATAAAAGGCCAGGCACAGTGGCTTATACCTGTAATCCCAGCACTTTGGGAGGCCAAGGTGGAAGGATCACTCGAGCCCAGGAGTTCAAGACCAGCCTGGACAACATAGTGAGTCCCTGTCTTTAAAAATAAAAAATAAAATAAAAAATCTATCAATGTGGACAGTTAAAACTGAGAATCAGTATGAACTAGGATTGCATCAAAATCTTGACTTGGAGGGAGCTTCCTGACCAAGGGGAAGGATCCGAGAAGGCCTCCTTCAGATGAAACCAGCTATATAGGACAGCAAACAAAGTCTATTCTGGGACTGAGTTGCTTCTGACTGCCCCCACCACCCATAATAACTTCCAGCTCATTCTGCTGACTGACCCTGTTAAGAACCAAAAAAGATGAGTCATCAAGTCCATACCGCCTAGAAGAACTCTGTCAAATATTTAGGTTTGGGTGAGGGTTTCGCCATCCTGACATAGACTGGGCTGAACAAAGAATCTATGACAGTGAAACAGAGGTTCATTTAGGATACATCAGATGAACTCATCCACGAGTTTTAGAAATCCCTTCACTCACTGATGATTCAAACTGGTTTGAAAGCAGTGATAGGCCGGGCGCGGTGGCTCAAGCCTGTAATCCCAGCACTTTGGGAGGCCGAGACGGGTGGATCACGAGGTCAGGAGATCGAGACCATCCTGGCTAACACGGTGAAACCCCGTCTCTACTAAAAAAAAAATACAAAAAACTAGCCGGGCGCGGTGGCGGGCGCCTGTAGTCCCAGCTACTTGGGAGGCTGAGGCAGGAGAATGGCGTGAACCCGGGAGGCGGAGCTTGCAGTGAGCTGAGATCCGGCCACTGCACTCCAGCCTGGGCGGCAGAGCGAGACTCCGTCTCAAAAAAAAAAAAAAAAAAAAAAAGAAAGCAGTGATAATGACCTTGTTAGTTGGGATTTCAATTAAAAATACTTGGGTTTGGCCTAGGAATGTAGTTTGATGAGTGTAGTCTGTCACACTCACATGAGGTCCCTGACAGGTGTCATATTTTGGGGGAGGGTGCTTATGTGAGGGAGTGGAGGGGTGTGAGCCCGGGAAAAGCCACCTGCCTGGTTCGGGAGGCACTTCCAGCTGTTCACCTTGAGCCTTCTGGCCATGCAATCATCTTAAGTTTTTCAATAGGCAAAATGGAAAGACAATCACGTGCAGAAGGTGCATCCCGCATCCCTCTTCAGCTGCAAGCACCCTGATGCAGCTAGAAGCATTCCTGTAACAGCCTCCCTTAGGCCTTCAGAAAAGAAACAATCCACTTTAAACTTACAAATGGGGCTGCCGTGTCCTCACAAGCTGGGGACATAGGTGGTGTCTTTCTTTTTTCCTGAATTGCAGGCTTTACAAATATAATATAGGGTTTAAATTCTGAGGTCCTCAGTTGTTTCAGTGCCTGAGAAAGAAAGTTCAGGAATATTATATACTTTTGAAGTTTTTTATTGTGAAATATACTTTTGAAAACTCAACGTGTGCTTCAGTCCCATAACCCCAACAGCAAAGGTCCTGGTTACATGGGTCCCATGACAATGGACTTCAATGGGGCAGACCAACTGCTCCTTTTCTCGTCCTTCACTTCGACATTGAACTCAGCGGGGCCCTGAAGTCACACTCACTGCAAATAGAAGGTTCCTAAGCCTCAGCTCAGAGAGAGTTGCTGTCTCTCTTAGCTCTGACCCTTCTGGCTATAATTAACCTTCTTAGGCTCCTCTCCACCTTCCATTTCTGATGGGTGAGGATGCAGGAGTCAGTGTGTATCTATTTAGTCAAATGTCATCAATTGGACTACACTATTACCAAATTTGTGCTATTACATCTCCTCTTGGTATTCAAAGAAGAAACCGTTCGCAAAGCAAATGAGATTACCGAACAGATCACTTAAACTGTAGACTGTAGAAACTGTACTCTTAATTAATGCATTTTATCTAGAATGTAAGGGCTCCACTTGGAAACACTAAATATTAAACTGCTATATGCATTATCTGCACCCTTGATCAATAAAGTGATCAATAAAATTACTTTTCAAAGAAATTTTTGAAACTCAGACTTCTAATTTTGATTACTAACTCCCTGTAAGTCCAAATGAGTGAGCGTTTTCCTTTGTAGGCATAACGTGCTTTTTGGAATATGTTTCAAGCAAACTTCTTTAAAATAAAGCCTACAGTTTATATCATAAAATCAGAGATCTGTTTCTATAGAGGGGAAAAAAATCCCAGATTGAGTTCAAAGCTTGGAAGTTTTTCTAAAAGACAAGGTTAAAGAGATGGTTAAGCCCCTGCTGAGCCCACAGCATGCCGGGTGTGCAGGAGTGGAAATGTTTTTGAAGCACTTCACAGGGCCACGTCTCCCTCCCTCTTTTTCCCCTTTAAACTGCTCTCCTCACTGCCTCCCTGAGTGGTTCTCTAAGCCACTGACTCCACCTGCCTTGGTTGGGGAGAGGGAGGCCTGGCACCGAGAGCTCAGCCCCAGCTTCACCTGGGTACTGACATCCCTAATTCTCTGGCACATTGCAATGGCCAGTCAGCGCCACCAACTACAGCATGATCTGTTCCATGCAGGGGTTACTAGCCTGGGTCTGTGGGCTACCAGAGTGTCCACGAGCTCCCTACAATTAATGCAGCATTTGTGGATAGAGGGGCATGTTTTGGGGTACAAGGCTTTCATTTGATTTTCAAAGGAAGACCCAAAGAAATTGAACAGTTAGTGTTCCAGACTAAAAATTCCTTAGGCTGAGGTTAAGTGTTGTATAAAACGTACAATCCCCTAGTTATAAATTCCATTAACCAGAAATGGCCAGCAGGCCCAGGAACTCACTTCCGGCTCCACATCCACCAAACAAACTTTGTTTTTGGCCATAACAGCCTGAATGGCCTCCAGGCTGGTTCCATAGAAATTTTCCTTATATTCACCATGTTCCAGGAACCTAAAACACCACCAAAGGGGAAAAGACCTTTAGTTCCTCAGCTTTCCTAAATTAGCAAAGGAAAGGGGACCTCCCAACATGACTTCTCTCCCACTTCCCCCATCCTTTCTGGGAGCCCTCCCGGGACCTCCAGTGGAATACAGGTAGATATAAAAAGACGCAGCTGCCTAGAAGGCCAACTGGCCCATCAAGCAACGTACTTGTTGTGATGTAAGTCGGCCTCAAATGCTTGCTTAGACACAAAGTGATATTCCACTCCTTCCTTCTCATGGCTCTTTCGGGGCCTGGTGGTATCTTTTAAAGAAAGAAGGAAAGCTGGGCAAAGAGATGTCACATCACAGCACGTGGGGATAGCAGCAGGCTTAGGCACTCATTTGGGAGTTGGCTGCTGCTGTGTCTAAACCAAGCACTTCTACCTCATTGCATGTCCCTGTATCAGGCACTGTGCCTTTCCAGGCAGGTGTATCACTGATTCACACAACAACTCTTCCATGTAGGCAAAAGGAGGCTTTTCCTTTTGCAGCTGAGAAAACTGAGGCACAGAGAGGCTCGGTGCTGTGCACAGTGACACACAACCAGTAGAGCACACAGCCAGAATCGGTCTCTCTGCCAAATGCCCAGCTTAAACCCTTAACCACTCTGCTAACTGACTCCCTGATGCTGTGGCTTTTTTTTTTTTTTTGTTTGTTTGTTTGTTTTTTGAGACAGAGTTTTGCTCGTTCCCCAGGCTGCAGCGCAATGGCATGATCTCGGCTCACTGCAACCTCTGCCTCCCCAATTCAAGTGATTCTCCTGCCTCAGCCTCCCGAGTAGCTGGGATTACAGACATGCACCACCACACCCGGCTAATTTTGTATTTTTAGTAGAGATGGGGTTTCTCCACGTTGGTCAGGCTGGTCTCAACTCCCAACCTCAGGTGATCCACCCGCCTCGGCCTACCAAAGTGCTGGGATTATAGGCGTGAGCCACTGTGCCCAGCAGATGCTGTGGCTTTTGAAGAATCACTTAAGAGACCCCTAGGTCCTAACTTTTAATTCTTCAATGTTTTTTCTTTTTTGAGAGCAAAGGAGCCACATATACATTTGACCCTGATGTATGCTTTTAATTCTTTAGTCAATTAGTTCTCATCTCCAGAAGGGGACAGGAAGACAGACCGTCCCTATATGGACTGGATGTGTTTCAGCAAGGCTGGCTCTCAAACAAAAATGTTAAAACACATGGTGTTTTCTCATTGATTTCCATAACAGAATTGGGATGCACACTTCTGAGGAAAATCAGGTCTTCCACAGAACAAGGGCACACACAAAGCCACACACACGGCATTTTCCAAAAGATAAAATGGGATCTTGGGGCGCTGTGTCTTCTGGCCCATGGGAACCATCCAGGGGATGCCCTGTGTTCTATCTGTGGCATCTTAGTCCAACCTCCGGTAGAGCTGCTAGGGTCACTTTTCCAACCACGTCATCCCCCTGCTTAAAAACTTTCATTTATCTATGCATTACATTCTAAACACCCTAGCTGAATATATGAGACCTGCATGATCTGCACAACCTCTCAGCTCCATTTTCCAGCACATCATCCACACTAATCTCCCCAGTCCCTAACACTGCTCTGTCCCTTCACACATGTTGTTTCCTCAGTACGGAAAACTATTCCTTTCTCTTCTGCCTGGAAAACTCCTATTTACACTTCAAAACCCAGCATAAAAGTCACTGCCTCTGGGAAGGCTTCCTTGACTCCTCCAGTTTCTAAAACCAAGGAGGAAAATCTCCTATCTGTGGAGTGCCTAGAAGCAGGTGGGCCTGACCATCCAGGTACCTCTTCCCCAGGGGATGGATCCAGGGGGTTCGGAACAATCAGTGTGTTAGCAACCTCTGCATGTCCTGTTTCAGTTCCCCTGAAACTTGGAAGGCTGTGGCTCCCTGAAGCCCTCCAGGTTCATCACAGCTGTCCTGCCAGAATGGCCTCCCCAGTGCCATCACCTCCCCCACATTCCCTGCCACTTCAGACTGGGCTCTGGAAGACAGCTCTGACAACCCACAGACTAGGCGCTGGGCCCAGGGAGAGCAGTGTGATCAAAGTAAGGCTTCGTGGCTGCTTTGCCCCAGAACACTCTGAGGAGGCCCCACTACCACCACCACAGCACCCCTCTCAGTAGCCACCAGGCATTCATACTGCATCCCTCTGAGGCCAGGGGGACTGAGAGTGAGTCCCAGAAAGGAAAGGGGCAGCCAAGGGCATGAAGTGGCAGGCAGCAGGTGAGAGGCCATTGTGCACCCTCATTAAGAACATGACTGGGGCAGGCTGCCTGGGTTTGAATCTTGGTTCCACCACTTACCAACTGTGTGACATTGGACAGGTTAGTTAACCTCTCTGACCCTCACTGTCTTCCTCTGCCATACAAGATGATGATAATCTCTCTTCTCAGGGGTACTGGGAGGGCTGACCCAGGGGACTGCACATAAAAGCTCTTGGCATATTACCTGGCACCTTCATTCTCCTCCTCCTCATCCTCCTTATCACATTCAGAACCAGGATCCTCTACCCACTGGAGCTTGACATCCCAGGGTGCCCCTAGCAGCAGCAAGCCCCAGGAATTGGCAGGGGAGGCATCACCCAGGAATGTACCCAGCCACCCTGACAAACTGGAATCTGACTATGAGGGAGTGCCAAGAAATACCACTCACAGGGTTCTGTGGCTTCTCTGACCTGCCCTCTCATCCAAGCAGAGGGCAGGGGCCATCGGAGTCAAAATTCACTGTGATGAGGAGGAATGCCCCCTACTGTGGAGGCCCTTTGGTGTCAGGTTGAGGCTGCCACTTTGCCTACAATGTGCTCTGGACTCACCTCCCACCCCAGGCAGGAACCACGCAAGTGGTCCTCCAGCTTCTGCCTCAGAGGGTCTCAGAGGACCACTGAGAGTGGATTTCTTCCCATCAGGCCTTTGTCCCATGATTTGCCAATAGCAGGCAGTGCCTGGTGATCCTTTAAACCCAAAGTAAGGATTTGGATGAATCTGGGAAGTTAAGTCCCCATGAAGTATTTGTGTGTGTGCAGAAAAACACACACCCCCACATGGGCCCTCTTACGTGGAACAGCGACACCAAAGTGCTGTGGGTTCTCGGCCACCACCTTTTGCTTCAGCTCGTGCAGTCGGGCTCCCAGAGACCCTGGGAAACAAGAGGAAGGCTGACCAGGGTCCCCGCTGAGCTCCCTCCCCACCTGCTCCAGGGAGGAAACCAGATCACTTCCTGGAAACCCAGGATGGCACCTACCGATCAGAACCACCAGGCGGGGCCGCTCTCCAGGCTGGTGTTGGTACCTGGCCACCTCCTCGTAAGTCAGCAGCTCTGGAGACTCAGCTCCGGAGGACATCTTCCCTTCCTGGGAGCCCCCCAGTCTCTCCCTACAGCCCAGCCGGAAACTCCTCCGAAGACCAGCTTGGAAGGAGGGGCAGAGGGACACCATGGCATTTGTCTCAGAATCTCCCAGAAGAGACTTTTTCCACCTGGCCAGACCTGGAGATGGGACTGAGTCCCACTGACCTCTCCCAACCTCCTCCTGCTACTGGAAGAGGTTGTTCGGGAAACACAATGGTAAGATGAAAGGGTGACCCTGCATTCACAAACTAGCGCTCAAGGTCACTGTTTTACTTGGCATGTGACTGACCTTGGACAAGTCCCTTCATCTCTCTGAGCCTCAATTTCCTTATCTGTGAAATTAGGATATGAATCTACAAATACCATGTGTGGTCCTAGATCGGATCCTGGACCAAGGGAAAATGCCATAAAGGACATGATGGGGACAATTGATAACATTTAAATAACAGCATATAATAGATTTGGATGCATTTTAAATTCTCAGAATTTGATCATTGCCCTGAGGAAGTCCTTGGCCTTGGGAAATACATGCTGAGAGATTTAATGGGAAAGCGACATGATGTCTACAACTAAGTCTCATATGACTCAGGAAAAAAAATGCAGAGATGTGGGAAAGGAAATTGAGCAAACATGGCAAAGGAGCAACAACTGGTGAATCTGGCTGTGGAGTATATGGGAGTTCTTTATATAATTCTTACACCTTTCCAGTAAGTTTGAAATTACTTCAAAATAAAAGCTAAGGGGCTGGGTGCAGTGGCTCATGCCTGTATCCCAGCACTTTGGGAGGCCGAGGCAGGTAGGTCACTTGATCCCAGGGGTTCACGACTAGCTGGGCAACATGGTGAAACCCTGTCTCTACAAAAAATACAAAAATTAGCCAGGTGTAGTGGCATGCACCTGTAGTCCCAGCTACTAGGGAGGCTGAGATGGAAGGATCGCTTGAGCCTGGGAGGCTGAGGCTGCAGTGATTTGTGATCACACCACTGCACTCCAGTGTGGGTAACACAGCAAGACCATTTCTCAAAAAATAATTTAAAAAAAAGTTTAAAAACTTTTTGGAAAGGAGGACCGCTTGAAGCTAGGAGCTTGAAACCAGCTTGGGTAACACAGCGAGACCCCACCTCTACAAAAAAAATATATTTTTAATCAGCTGGGCATGGTGTCAGGTGCCTGCAGTCCCAGCTACTCAGGAGGCTGAGGTGGGAGGATTGTTTGAGTCTAGGATGTTGAGGCTGCTACAAGCTGCAATGTCACTACTGTACTCCAGCGTGAGTGACAGAGCAAGGCCCTGTCTCTAAAAAATAACCAAAAAACAAAAAAAACTTTTTGCCTATCTCTAAGACGTTTGACAAAACTGACGAAAGTAAAAGAAGTGAAAAGGGGCTCTGGAGAGCAGTAAACACCCTCACTGTGTGGTGGTGGTGTTAACACTGAATAAACTCCAATTGCGATGATGGTGATAACAGAATTGGTATTAATGTAGGGGTGTGTGTACCTTTCCCGCCAGGGCATGTGTCCCATGGCTGGGTAAAAGCTGGGTGGGGACTCAATGCCTGGGCAGGCTCAGCTCCTGCTCAGGCTGAGAGAACTGAGGAGAGACGGGGGTCCCACAGGCTCTGCTGCTCCAGAAGGACTCCTGGGGCTCACATCAGCCTGCTTTGACCTCTCCCTGCCTCTGGAGCCTGGGGTGGGGCAGGTTGTGCATGTGGGTGTCAGGGGGAGCTACTTACCCACATACTGCCCTTTGAGGTAGCCCTCACAGTCACAGGCCTCTGGGAAGCAAAAGAGGGAAGGAAGCCAGTGAGTCCCGCCAGACACATCTGGCCCAGGGGACCCAGCCCCTGGATGGCCGGGCAGGAAGAGCCCCCTGGGATGGTGTCTCATGGGGAGCTCAGGGGAAATCCCATGTCCTGGATACCCCAAGAAAGCAAGGTCTTCTGTTTTGCTCAGTTCTCCATGCTTAGGCCCCTAACAGCCTTTCCAGGCCCTGAGGGGGATTCTAGGCCAGCAGGCCTCCCCAGTCCCTGAGTGTGAGCAGCGTGAATAAGGAGGGATTCACTCCTGCCTGCCCTGCCCTCCCACCCCTTGTCTCCTACCCAGCCCCATCACAGCACGGCTGAGTCCTGGAAAGGCTGGGCCCCGCATGTCAGGAGAGCAGGGAAGGGCCCCAAGGCCTTGAACCCTGTCCCCACCAACTCTGCCTGCCTCAAGAAACAGCCCAGTCTGGCTGGCAGAGCAGGAAGAGGTGTGCAGACAGCGGGAGGGGCACAGCTGCCCACATGGGGAAAGAATACGAGTCCCTCAGGCCCCAAACGTTCCATGGAAAAGGGGCCGTGCCTGTGCACAGCGGACAGATACTGGGCCTACCTTTGTCACAAGGCTGATCATCTGCGGTTTGCACAAAAGACAGATGGAACAGCGTTAGTGGAGGGAAGCGGGGACCCTGCGGCTGAGGGCAGCCACGGCCCGGGTGCCTGAGGAGCCCGCCATCTGGCCTCTCTCCCTTTCCTCCAGTGAACCTGTGATCTGAGCTGTGGTACATTATTAAACCCCAAGACCTGCTCTAATTAGTCTTCTTGTGTGTGTCTCATTAGCAGCCCAGAGAAAGCCAGCTCGTCAGTGGCGCAGCAGCCTCAAGGCCACTGCACTCAGTGGCCCTTCTAACCTGACAGCAAGTCTGGAAAAGTGGCCATTGTCAGGGGCCCAGGGAGCAGCTTACTCCAGGATCCTGTAGTGGGAATAGGACCCACTCTCTCTTTTCTGGGGTTGGAGTCTGGCCCTGGAAAACGCAGATGCCTGAGGGTGGAGCGGGGTGGAGCAGAGCCGCAGGCCATCTGTGTTCTGGTCACCTGGCACCTGCTCAGGCCACTCACTCGGTTACAAGTCTGCCCTCTAGTACCGGTGAGACCATGCCCTGGAAAAGCTTCCTCTCTACACGGGGCCCTACCCTGGGGCTCTGATCACAGGCCTTCAGAAAATGTGACCCCACCTCTGCTCACTTCACCTTGTGACCCTACATATTCCCAGCTTAGAAAAGATACCTGACTCTACTGACTTCATAGCGTTCCAAGAAGTAGGTGGACGTGTTTTCTAGTGTAAAGGGCTACACGGTGTAGAGTTGCCAGATAAAGTGCAGGATACCCACTTAAACTTGAATTTCAAATAAACAAGAAGTAACTTCTCAGTGTAAGTATGTCCCAAATATTGCACAGGACATACTTCTACTATAATAAAAACTAAATAAAAACATACCTATGCTATAAACCAATCTGTCATCTATCTGAAATTCAAGCTTCAACTGGGCATCCTTTATTTGTATTTGCCCAGTCTGGCAGCCCTACCAGAGGCACCGGGTCACACACGGCCTTCTCCATTCCCTTCCAACGCCACTGCTTCTTCCATTTTCAGGGTCAGAGAGTCCTTGGGAATCTAACGAAAGCTGTAGATCCTCACACGCACATGCATACGTGCGTGAACACACACACGTCTGCACATCAGTTTGGGAAAGTTGTTAATATATTCCCCAGCATCATCTATGGACTCCAAATATACAAGCTCCTCTCCAGTGACTCCAGCCACCTCCTACTTCCCACTCCCTCCTTCCTCTGGAGTCCATGAGCTCAGACAAGACCCCTGATGCCCCCTCCAGCCCACTGCCTGCTTCTTCCCAGCCTGAATCCTTCCTCATCCTAACCCCGGGCCCTCCCCGGAGTGCCATCCCTGACAATCTACTCACAGGGGGGCTTCTTGAGGCTCTGGGGGCTCGGCAGGGTGCCCGCGGCTCTCCGGTAGCTTAGTCGTCTGCAGGGACACAAGGGGATGGGTGGGCCCGTGAGCTGGGCCAGAGAATCATTTGAAAGGAACTTTCTGGAAAACTTGGGAAACCAAGGCCTGGATCCCACAGGTGGGCACACACTGGACACTCTGAGGGCCTCCTGCTTCGCACTAAGTTCCAACGAAGGGAACACTTTCACAGGGCTCACTGGTTCGCCAGGAGGAAGAAACCGAGTCTCTAAGTCCAGAAATAGCTCATCCAGCTCAAGATGGCCACACAGGGATCCAGCCCAGTGTACGATCCTCAGCTGGTCATTACTCCCCTATGGCCAATTTCCAAGCAGAGGCGGCCCCTTCTCTACTCTCCAGCCTCCCCATCTCTGAGGGAGCTGGGAAATAGCAGAATGACTCCCAGGAGAGGCTGAGGACAGAAGTGACCCTAATTTAACACCCTCCCCTCAGTGGAAGGCTCAGCCCGGGTAGACTGTCCAATGTGGCTGTCAGTGGAGAGGTGAGGCTCTCAGAGGTGTCCAGATTCCCACATTGAAATGCAGCCGAAGGGTTGGGTGTGGCGGCTCACACCTGTAATCTCAGCACTTTGGGAGGCCGAGGTGGCAGGATCACTTGAGGTCAGGAGTTCAAGATCAGCCTGGCCAACATGGTGAAAAAATACAAAAAGTAGCCGGGCATGATGGTGCACGTCTGTAATCCCAGCTCCTCGGGAGGCTAAGGCAGGAGAATCACTTGAACCCAGGAGGCGGAGGTTGCAGTGACCTGAGATCGCACCATTGCACTCCAGCCAAGGGGATAGAGTGAAACTATGCCTCTCAAAAAAAAAAAAAAAAAAAAAAAAAATTGCAGCTGAAGAGCCCTCCCCCACATCCTCTGGTAAGATGTTGCCAAGACCTGTGAACCCTAAAATGGAGATGGGTCTGGGGTTCCCGAGGGGACAGAGCTTCGTTCTCAGACTTTGGCACCTCAGAATCAGCTGGAACATTTGTTAGAATGTGGGGTTTCTGGGTGGGACCCACGGATTTGCATTTCTAACAAGTTCCCAGGTGATGCTGAAGCCCCTGGCCAGGGGGCCACACCTTGAGGGCCACTAAAATGGGTGAACCCTGAGGTTCTGTCCTTACCACAGTCCACACACCAAAAGATGTGAGGGCTACAACCCACAGAGGAAGTCACAACTGCCACCCTCTGACCCAAGACTGAACTTCTTGGAAGTCTAAAGAAATAATTTGAAATATGAGGAACAGTCTATGTGCAAGGTAAGTATACTGAAGCCTTTTAACAGTGAAGAATTGGGAACAACCTAATAAAAGTGCAGCCACAGGAAAGCAGTGAAATCACTTAGCTAGTTCCTCCGAGAAGCCTTCCCTGCATTCCTGGATGAGGACGCAGCCTCCTAATATGAACTCACAGAGCACCAGGTCCTCCTCCCTTGCACCCATCACATTTGCATAAACTGCTTGTTTGAAGAGTGTCTGACTTTTCCACTGAACTATAAGCTCCTCCAGGGCAGAAACCCCAGGTTCACAGCAGCCTGCAGGATGCTCAGCACAAGGCCAGCTCAATTCATCCTAAGTACCTGCCGCCTAGGAATGAATGGCACAGCTCCTGATGAGTTAGTATATAGCCACTAAAATCACACCACAAAAACGATGTTATAATATGGAAAATACTCATGCCAAAAATGTTAAAAAGAAAAAAAAAAGGCAAGACCCCAAATTCTGTATGCAACACTCACATAAAAAGCACAGTAAGGAAATAAACTGCTGTTTAGATAGGGGTGAGACGTGGGGAATTTTCTTCCATAGTCTTCCTCTTCTGTATTTTTTTTTTTTTTTTTGAGTCAGGGTCTCACCCTGTTACTCAGGCTGGAGTGCAGTGGTGTTGTAACAGCTCACTGCAGCCTTGACCTTCTTGGACTCAAGCGATGCTCCTACCCCAGCCTCCCAAGGAGCTGGGACTACAGGTGTGTGCCACCATGCCCAGTTAGGTTTTTATTTTTTGTTTAGAGAGAGACAAGGTCTTACCATGTTGCCTAGGCTGGTCTCGAACTCCTGGGCCCAAGGGAACCTTCTGCCTCGGCTTCCCAAAGTGCTGGGATTACAGGCGTGAGCCACCACCATGCCCAGCCTCTCTTCTGTATTTTTATATTTTATTTCTCAGCATTCTCTAAGCATGCATTATAAAATATACATTAACTTAGGCTGGGCCCAGGGGTTCATGCCTGTAATTCCAGCACTTTGGCAGGTCAAGGCAGGTGGATCACTTGAGGCCAGGAGTTTGAGACCAGCCTGGCCAACATGGCAAAACCGTCTCTATTAAAAATACAAAATTAGCCAGGCATGGTGGTGCACGCCTGTAATCTCAGCTACTCAGGAGACTGAGGCAGGAGAATCGCTTGAACCCGGCAGGTGGAGGTTGCAGTGAGCTAAGATTCACCACTGCACTCCAGCCTGGGTGACAGAGTGAGACTCTGTCTCAAAAAAAAAAAAAAAAGTGTGTGTGTGTATATATATTTGTGTATATACATGTATTTTGTGTGTGTGTGTGTATATATACAGATACACACACACACACAATAGATTCCTTTAAATCTCAAATAGCCATCACCACTAGTTATGGGAAAAGACCAAACACAAGTGCAACTGGTACTTACCTTGGGGAAACAACGCTCAGCAGGCCCCTCTGGCTGTGAGGACACAGAGACTTGGGGGCCTGTCATGTACCTGCACCTCTGCCACTTTGGAACCAGCCCTTCACGACACACCCCAGACCCACCTCTCCTGGAACCGCTTGGAGGGGATGAGGCCGGCTCGAAGGTTGGTGTCCCCGACTCGCTTGGCCTGCCACCACGTGGGGTCGTCCTGGCTCACCACTTCCAGGACCTGCCTGCGCTGGAAGGGCAGGCCCGCCTCCTGACAAGGGATGGCCCGGTCCTCGCGAGGGTTGTAGTGGAAGAGGGCGCGCATGAACACCTGCACAAGGAGGGCTCTGGTGAGGCGGCCCTTCCCCATGTGAGCACCGACAGGTCATTGCCACATCAAAGGCCACATGATAACGACCACCCACACTTAGGAGGGCCAAGCGGCCTTTCGAATAGAAAGCTACTTGGAAACACTGCACATACGTTCTTAACTGTTCTTCAACCATTTGGGATGCTATGGTCAGGAATTCCATCAAGAATCAGAAAGTTAATAGACCCCATGACTGAATATCTCTTTCTCACCTAAATATTTCCTTATTTACTTGACCAGCTGTCCTCATAACAGCCTCTTAGCATACACACAGCAACAACTAATCCTGGGAACAAAAAGTAAAGGCAAGCACAATTTCTAACTCGTGTTATTTTTGACACGCCAACTGAGCTGACGGAAGGCAGCAGCCATCTGTTATATAAGTAATCTAGATGTTTGGGTAAGAACACAAATATCAACAAAACTACTGTTACTGACTCCTCACCACTTTTCAGTGGGTAATTGACACCCACAGCTCTTACAGCTCAATCCTGCCTCATCTGCCATAGACTCGGCCAAGCCCCAATTCCCCCCTCTACTCTAGAGTCACCCTCTCTGGAGAAGATGGTGTGAGTACACAGCATTTTTCACACTTCCTTATTCTCTTCTATAATTTGGTGGCATGGATTAATTTTATTTATTTCTATTTTCAGACCATTAGGGCCCAATCACTTCAGTGGCAAACAGAAAAAAAAAAAGGAATCAGGGGTCTTCCTCAGACAGATACAAACTGTATTCCTTTATATGCCAACCAGAAAAGATTCCATCGGACAACAGTAAGAACTTTCTGGCATATGTTGTGGGGACAGATACCCTTAACCAGCCACAGATGTTACCAGGGTCCTAAGCACTCAGAAGAGTGTGATCTTAAGTGGCCAGCCCAAATCAAGCATCTGGATCAAGAAGAAATATTCAAGAAGGATGGGCTGGGGGACAGGCTACTCATTTTGTCCTTTAGGAAAACCAAGTTCTCTTCCTCAAAGAGGGTTCCTCAAGTCAGAACCCTCAAAGTTGCATATGGGGACCACATTCGCTTGCCCTAAAAAGAATCACTTTCCACCAGGTAACAGGAAATATTATGCCCTGGGATTTAACCAAAGAGCACAAATAAGAAACAGCTATATAAAGATTATTTCTTCACTTGCTGCAAAAAACTGTCATTGAAGACATAGTCCATTACAAATCCACATTCTTCGAAGTATCGACTGACATTCCCTCTCTGCCAGATGCTGTAACATCTCTTCTTTCATGCTTTAAGTACTGACAGGCAGGTATGGGAATCAATCTTGAAAAACTGGCATGCTTCCTTCCATTCTCTGCTCAACAGTATGTAATTCATTATGCTATCCTTTTTGCCTTGGCTGCCAGGAAACTCAGATCCAAATGTACTGTGAAATCAAAGTGATGCCCTCCTCTCTATCTCATCAACCACTATCTCACAGTTCAGGTCTTAATAATGTCTCTCCTGGGCTTTTACAAGCGCCTTCTACCAGGCCTCCCTGCCTCCAACCTCTACCTCTACCCACTCCACCCTCTCCCTGTGGCTGCCTCAGGGAGCTTTCTAAAACACAAATATAACTATACCACTCCCATCCTAAAAACAAAACAAAACAAAACAAAAAAAACCACACACACACACACACACAAACACCTTTAAGAGCTTATTAGAACCTATGGGACTATCTCTTGGGCTGTGGGATGGCTTCCCATATGCCCCAGGGCTGGACCATTCAGTGCAGCCTGGGCTGACTTCCAGCCAGCTGCCAGCACCTGCATCTCTTTGCCTAAGGACTTACTTTCTCTGGCCACTGGAGCCTGCTCTTCTCTAATCCAGCAGGCAGAAGTTGCTAGGAATTAATACCCCAGGTGCAGCCTGGCAGGAGTTGGTGTACAGATCGCCCAGCTCCCAGGGCCCCTGGGTGGGATGATAGAGGCATGTGTTCCACAGGGGAGGAAGTAGTTCCCCAAGTTCCCAGCAGGACTAAGCTCCAGCTGCCCATAGTGGCAACCTGCTTGATAACACACCCTTGGTCAGATCAGCTGTCTTCCCTTTCCCAGTCCCGTACTGGTGTTTCCTGGGGTCACTTCCCAAATAAATCATTTGCATTAAAATCCTTGTCTCAGGGGCAGCTTCTAAGAGGCCCCAAACTAAGCAAGGATTATGCCAAAACCCTTAACAAGGCATTGAGGCCATTCAGAACACAGGCTTAACCCACCTCCCCAGCAAAACCCACCACCATCCTCCCCGCAAAGCCCCAGCACATCGCCCTTAACGTGCTCCTCTCCAGAATGCCAGGGAGCCTCTGTATGGGCAGACCCCACCAAGGTCCCACTCTTCTTTACCTTCTTCAGGCCTCAGTTCCAACACCCCCACTCTGACACCCTCAAGGGTGACTGTAACTCTTTGTACAGAATCTTGACAAAGCACTTATTACATAGCAAGGAAAGGTTTGCTGCCCTTCTGCACCAGGAACCCTTGAAGCTACCAAGAGTCCTGTCTCCAGCATCTGGCAGAGTGCCTGGCACAGAGGACGTGACCAAATAAGGCAGGCTCAGCAACAATTAAACAAATGGCAGTTACTTAATTGGTTCAGAATTCAGCACACTTGGTACCTTCTCCTCCTCTTCATGGCCCTGAGTTTCTATTTCAATTAAAATAACCTCGTCTTTTATTATTAGTAAGCCACGTCAAATCCTGTTTAGAAAGAGGCAGGGTACAAACAAATGAATCACTTTGTGACGGAATTAAAGTCCTTCAATGGGCACAGATTACTAGGACCAGATCTATGATCTGTTCCCGAATGACTGTTTCAAGAGGCTGGACTGGATCCAGCCCCCAGCCAGCGAGCTGCATCTCTCAAGCTGAGAGAGGGTGCCGCAGGCCCACCTCCCCATACCTTGCTCTCCTTTAAGCGATCTTCCTCCTGGGTGGCTGGGATGATTTTTAGGGTGATGGATCCCTGGGACTGGGCCTGAAACGAGAGAGAACAGAAGCTTCTCGCCTACCAGGTCTAACCCTCCAAGAGCTCAACTTCTACTTCTCAGGCCTAAAAACTGATGTTCAGAAAGTCAGACTTGCAGCCTTCCAAGGCCCACCCTTCTAGGATGGTGCCCTGGTTGAATGAACTAAAGCAAAACTCAGTAACCAAGTAACTGTACCTTTTTGTATTTTTTTGTATTTTTATTATTTTAAAGGCAGTTCAAATTTAGCAGTGGAGGGTTGGTAACTGTATTTTCAAAAGACAAAGGGACGGAAGACTTTCCATGAGAACCCAAGGACTACGTGTTGAATTCCAATCCTCCATCCCTGCTGACCGCTAGGGCCCCAGAGGGCTCCCTTCCTTGCTTTCCTCTTGGGTCATCTGAACAACCCATTTCAGCTTCCTTTGCCTCTTTCCTGACTGATTTGGGGCTGGTCTCTGATTAATACTTCCCTCTTTGCTTCCATCTCCCCAATCTCAGGTCATGCCCAGCTTTCCAGGAGCTCCCTTCACCCTCATCTACAGAGACCCTGCAGCCCAATGCCAGGGGCCCAACAAGGAAGAATGCTCTCGGACCAGGACAGCAGGGCCCAACAGACCACCTCCTGGCCTCTCCACTACCCAGACAGCCCACACCCTTGCTCTGCAGCACAAGGAAGTTGGCACCCAAAGCCACAAAAAAGCAAGCTTGGGCAAAAGGACTGAAGGGCCTGCCTGCGATCTGCATCCTCTACAGAGGGGGCTTTATTTTGTTGGGTTTTTGTTTTGTTTTGTTTTTTGAGATAGAGTTTTGCTCTCATTGCCCAGATTGGAGTGCACTGGCATGATCTCGACTGCCTGCAACCTCCGCCTCCCAGGTTCAAGCTATTCTCCTGCCTCAGCCTCCCAAGCACCTGGGATTACAGGGGCCCACAACCATGCCCAGCTAATTTTTTGTATTTTTAGTAGAGATGGGGTTTCACCATGTTGCCCAGGCTGGTCTCGAACTCCTGACCTCAGGTGATCCACCTGTCTCAGCCTCCCAAAGTGCTGGGATTACAGGTGTGAGCCACTGGGCCCAGCCCAGAGAGGGCTTTAAACAGTGGGCCTCCTCTCTTCCGATCTTATCCTGTTTCTGCCCCCAAAACTATCAGAAGTTAGCAAAGAGTATCAGGTTGGGGGAGGAATCCTGAGGATAAAGGGGACCAAGCTATGATTGGGGCTTTTCACAATTTCAGTTTTGACTTCAACTCCCCAGAATGGACCACGGAGATTTTCAGCCAAGCATTTAATACCTTGAAATCCCCTTACACTTCTGAAGGGCTTTACCCTTTTCCAGATGTTGGCATCCCAATGATAACCACACATTGGTTGAGAAAGAATCCCTATCCCAACGTTAAAGGAAAGGAAATGGAAACTCAGATGATCTGATGGCTTGTCCAAGGTTGCACAGTTGGAAGGAGGCAGAGCCAGGATTCATACCCAGGACCCAGGACCCAGGAGGGACCTTGTGAAAGGGAGCCAGGGGAAGGAAGGAAGGCTGTGCTGAGAAGAGGGTCTAAGAGAGGCAGATGGAAGGGAAGATCCCCTCCTCCTGCCGCCACCCCATACCCCAAGCACACCGTTAGGGGCACACCATAAGGCCACTTTGCCTGCCACCTCCTCAGGACAACAGCAAGGCTAAGCCAGAATCTGCCTTGGCTCCAGAAAGCGCCCCGCTCTGGGTGTCTGAAGACCCAGCACATCCCTAGCAGGCATGTAGCACGGACCAGAATCTGGCTGATCTCGTCGGGCCGCTTGTGCAGGACTGCGATCCCGTTCACTTCTCGGAGCTCGTCTCCAACGTGGACCAGGCCTAGGAGACACAGGGACTGACCATCAGCACAGGAGGAGAGCCTGAGCACCAATCACTTAGAGCTCCAAGCACCACAGGGGCCTGCCTGAGGAGCCCACTGCAGGGCCAACTCGAGGTTTAAAGTTGATGGGTGGGACTCGGGCGAACTAAGCCCCTGAGTGCTGGGCACCTCACTTGGCATGGAGGGCTCAAATCACCCAGTAAAATCTCCATTTTACAAATTGGCACCTGAGACCCAGGAAGATTAAGCAGCTTGCATAAGGCCACATTGCTATGAAATAATGAAGCCAGTATTCAAACACAGTTATTCTGATGTAGAAAGCCTGTGTTCTTTTTGCTATAACCTCTGCTTCTTTAAAATGATCATTAACTCTTCACCTTCCTAGGTTTACAGATATACTCCTAGAATGGCGTCCTTAAGTCTTAACAAGGAAAGACAAAAGCGCCAGTGAAGACATCATTAAGACTGTAAACACAATATGAGCCTCTGCCTGAATGACAAATGTCTTGGCATATTAGGGCCCTATTTGCTACTCAAAGTGGACACTGGCCTGGCTGCATCAGCATCACCTGGAGGCAGGTTAAAAGTGCAGAATCTTCAGCCTAGCTCAGACCTGCTGAATCAGTCTGCATTTTAACAAGATGCTCAGGGAATTTGTGTACTCGTTAATGTTTGCAAAGTGCTGGTCTAGGATTCTCTGCAACGGTGACCCCCCAGACTTTGGGGGTAACATCCCCCTATATCAGGAGGTTTGTCTCCCAGCTTAGTAGCTCTTCCACACACCGGTGATTCTCAACCTTTCTACCCAAATGAATCTGGGGCACAAACACTCTCTTTGTAATAGTGGTTTGACAAGACCTGGGGTGGTGGGGAAGGGTGTCATCCCTGCCCCAGTTAGTAATCCCCCAAGCCCATGCTATATTCTTAACTGTCACAGTCCTTGGACTAAACCAACGCATGAGCTTTTTCTCAATCACCCCAAAGTACTCCATGACTATTTTTTATATATATACGTATATATAAAATACGTATATATAAAATATATACATATATATGTATATATAATTTTTTCTTTTTTTTTTTTTAGAGACAGTCTCACTGCGTCACCTATGCTAGAGTGTAGTGGTGTAATCACAGCCCACTGCAACCTGAAACTCCTGGGCTCAATCTTCCCACCTGGGCCTCCCGAATAGCTAGGACTACAGGTGGGGGCCCCCATGCATGGCCTATATTTTCTTTTTCTCTTTTTTTTTTGAGACGGAGTTTTGCTCTTGTTGCCCAGGCTGGAGTGCAATGGTGTGATCTCGGCTCACCACAACCTCCACCTCCCAGGTTCAAGTGATTCTCCTACCTCAGCCTTCCCAAGTAGCTGTGATTACAGGCATGCGCCACCAATCCTGGCTAATTCTGTATTTTTAGTAGAGACGGGGTTTCTCCGTGTGAGCCAGGCTGGTCTCGAACTCCCGACCTCAGGTGATCTGCCCACTTTGGCCTCCCAAAATGCTGGGATTATAGGTGGCAGCCACAGTGCCCGGTTTTTTTGTTTGTTTGTTTGTTTTGAGACAGAGTCTCACTCTGTTGCCCAGGCTGGAGTGCAGTGGCATGATCTCGGCTCACTGCAACCTCCACCTCCCAGGTTTGTGTGTTTAGTAGAGATGGGGTTTCGCCATGTTGGCTAGGCTGGTCTCCAACTCCTGACCTCAAGTGATCCGCCCACCTCAGCCGCCTAAAGTGCTGGGATTACAGGTGTGAGCCACCACGCCCAGCTGGCCTATATTTTCTATTAAAATTTCTACTGACTTGGGAAGGAGATGAGAATTCCAGCCACAACCCCAGAAAGCAAACCACATCCCAAACAGGTGGTCTGATAGGAGAGAAGTAAGGGGAGCTATGAGCAAAAGTGGAGGGCTCTGGAACAATGGCCATGATCAGGGGTGGGCCAGCTTTGCACGCCGCCACTCACCGCTCCTGTCTGCTGCGCCTCCTCGCATGATCCTGGCCACCACGACAGCCCCTGAGTGCTCGTCCCGCCGGATGGTGGCGCCCTGAACCCGAGACAGAAGAGGCAGGTTCTTAAGCAGCAGCTCCAAATCTCAGACCCCTACTCTCTGGACCCAACACAGCCTCCCCAGTCCCTCCCTCTGACAGTCCTGAGGGCAGATCAGTGGGGACCTTCCCAATGCTGAAGACAAAACAAAACCAACATCTCCCATTAGTACAGCCCTGCACTTTACAGTTTACAAGGCACAATAATGCTGCAACATTTTAGATGAGGGACTGGGGCTCAGAGAAGTTAAATATCCTCAAGGTCACCCAGCTGGTAAAGGGGAAAGCTTTTTGTGATGCCAAATCCAGTACGTTCTCCATCACATCTCTGTCATATCACAGTTCCTACCACTTGCAAAGACATTTAATAATGAGGATGATACGTGCCAGCTAATTCTCACCCTGCCTCTACCCAATCACAGGGTTACCAGGCCTTCTGCTGCTGCTGAGGGAAACCAATTATGCACCCCAGCCAGAGCTTCGGGACCAGGACTTGGCCCATGAAGCACAGCAGAGATGACACTTAGGATGAGAAAGGAACTAACGAGCCCTCGATTTCCTGCACCACAGAGGCTGGACTGCAGCAGGACAGCAGAAAGCTTAAGAGCTAAGCTCTAGGGCTGGACAGCCCTGGGTGTGAACACAGTTCCACCATTTACAAAAAGCATGTGGCCTTAGCAAGGAAATCTCTTATCCTCTTCAAGCCTGTTTCCTGTGAGATGTGGGATAGCATTTAACTCACAGTGTTGTTGCAAGGATTCCATGCAATGCACTTAGTACACAGTAAGCACTCAACATATGTTAACCACTTATTAGTGGCTGTAACTGCAAACACATTTGCACAGTTATTGTTAACATCATCCGTGCCATCTATTTGAAGTACAAAAAATAATTATTACTAGAGAGGCCATCAACTAAGAACCCCAGGACTTCTAGCCTCCCCAGACCTGAGAACTTTCCAGCATTGCTATCTATCATTTACTCAGCTCTGAACTGCCAGCACCCAATACCGCCTGGATAGGAGGGCTCACAACGTGTTTGCTAAATCAATGGATGGCTGCTCCATTTTACAGGTGAGGAAACAGAGGGAGAGGAGAGATCCTCGTCTGCTTGCAGAAGAGGCTCATTGGAGGTCATTTGGGGAAAGCTGGAAATAGAGAATGACAGCTGTGGGATCTTCTGGAGCCAATCTCAATTCTCTGGGCTTCCACCACTTCTGTGCATCTCATAAACAACACTGTCCCTTTGGTCGGTAAATCAATGCTGAACCAGGACCAAAGTGATAGCAATCAGTCTACTGGGGAGAGGAATGCCCCGTGCTTCCTCAATATTCAGAGCAGGCATTCTCACACGTTTTCTGTAAGAGGCCACACGTAAATATTTTAGGCCAGCTACACAGTCTCTGTCACAATGACTCAACTCTGCCATCGCACTATAAAGGCAGTCACAGCCTATCTGTAAGTGAATGGGCCTGGTTGTGCTCCAAAAAAGCTTTATTTTAAAAAATAAGCTGTGGGCTGGGTTTGGCCCTTGGGCTGTAGTTTGTCCATTTCTGGCTTAAAGGATGATCAGGGTCACCCTATACAATTGTGCAGGTTATTTACTGCACAAAGCGGGTTGGCCACAGTTGAGAGGGGCTGTATCCACCCAGAGGAAGGGGTGCCCTGCACACAGAGGCGCCACAGGGACGAGCAGCAGCCCCGGCAAAGCTGCTGTCACTCACTCTGAAGACTTCGGGGAGGGTCTTGTCCCAGTGTTCTGGGTGGGGGTGAGAGGCAGGGGAAGAGTGGGTTAGAGAGAAGCAGGCAGCAGCACCTACCAGGGGTTCCTTGTTCTTCACCAAGCGGACGATCTTCACAGATTCCTCATCAAAATCCTCATCGATATTGTCAGGCAGAGGCGGGAGAACGGGGTCAAAATTCTTCTGGGCAACCGTGTCGTGTACCATGAGCACAGCCTGTCGGGAAAGCAAGAGAAAAGGAGGGCTGGCCCGCCACTCACAGGGTCAGCAGGCCGTGGCTAGGTGGTGGTCTGGAGGGTGGCAGATGCCATGCCAGAGAGACAACTGTCCAGACACTAGTGCTGAGGATCGCTCCCTCAGAAGTCTCCACTCCTCAGCCTCACAAGGAGAGCTCCCTCCACCCCCATCCCAGGAGACACAGAGGCATGGGTGGGCAGGGGCTCTGCGCGACTACCCTCAGGTGCGGGGTGGACAGCAGCTGGAGCAGCTCCTTCTCATCACTGTGCACGGAGGCGGCCTGCAACTCCTCCATCACCTGCAGAGAATGAGACAGGCGCCACCGATGGCTAGAGGTGCCCCTGCCCCACATCTGCTGGGTCCTTCTTCTTTGGGCCACAGACCCAAGGGCCCACCCAGCTGCAGCCCCCAGGGGCTGAGGGGCAGACCCTCAGCCACCCCAGGACGATGATCCCGGGAACATCACACCAGGGGTCAGGAGCAGCTCGACGGGGCCATCCTCCAAGGAGCCACCATTTTAAGCCCTATGTGCTTTCTGCTTTATGTGGATCTTCTCACTGAACCCTGCAACCAACTCGATGCAGAGGGTCTTGTTACTTTGCCATTTTACAGATGAGAATCCTGAGACTCAGAGATTAAACATCTTGCCCGAAGTCACAGAGCTCATATACAGCACAGCTAGGATTTGAACCTGGGCTTACCTGGCTCTCAGATGCTATTTTATGAATGAGGAAATGGGAGCTCAGAGAGGTTGAGTGGCCTACTTAACATCACAGAGCCAGTGGGACAGGCAGCGCTGAGCCTGGGACGGGCAATCTAATGTGCCCCTAATCACATTCCACAGTGGAGAAGGGCCCAGGGCTCTGCATCCACAGGCTGCACCCATCCCTCCCCAGGCCATCTCCTGGGGTTAGGAGAGTTTATTCAGGCTGATCTTAGTAATCAACCAGAATGGCTTTTCCCCAACCATACAACACAGACGACTAGGTCCACAAGAAATTAAGAAGCGTTCCTTTAAAAAATGAGAAGCCTGAGCCAGTATGCGGGGACACACTCTAGGTCCCTTGACTTCAGGAAAGCACAGATACAATGTCTAATTGACCTATTCAAATCATCTGTCTTCAGAGCAGTTTGGGAACTGCTCAGCCAATCCAATGCTCTCATTTACAGCAGAGGAAACAGACTTGCTCCAGAACACACAGAGAGTGGGCAGCCCCATGTCAGTGTCTCCCAACCCAGTCCAAGGCTCACCGGTTCCTCCCTGCCTTTCGGGGAACCCAGAGAGAGGAAGAGAAAGAGGAGGACAAGGGAAGAAAACACCTCTTCACCTTTGGGCTCCTGATTCCTGGTGTCCCCAGACTAAGCAAACGAGGCAAGATGAAGGAACTCTACAGGGTAGGGAGTGGGGCAGACGCTCTAAGGAGAAACCTGGGGCTTACGTCCTCAGCGAGGGCCACAGCGCTGTGCAGAACTGGGGTTGGACTTTGCCTTTCATAATAGCGAAGCTTCTCATGAATCTGCAAAGACAGAGTATTTCAGATGCACCCTGGACACCACACATCCCACCCATGGCTGTGGGGACAACTGAGGCAGCAGACTGGGCCACTGATGGGGCACCGTAAGAGAAAGTCCTGTGCAGTGGGCAAGTGAAGGCCTTCCTGGGGCAGGGAGATGACTAGGATGACCTCAGACAGCCCCAGACAGCTAGAAAGACCTCTAGACACCCTTCCAGGCAGGATGACGTGGGACTTCACCTTCATTAAGTAACTGAGGCTTTTTTCACTGAAAACATCCCTCAGGAAGCCCATCTCCTCCTTGTGGTTGGAGTCAGGTCTCAGCTGGGAGGTCAGCAGGGCCAGGGTTTCATGCAAACCTGGGGAGAGGTGAGAAAAACAAAGGATAGCAAACGCAGTGGGTGCTCCCTGCCCCCAAGGAGCCCGAGTGGGGCCTCAAACAGCACTTCGGTCCTGCCGTGAGGACATTCTCTCCCCAGGTTCTCACTGCCAGGGCCTGGAGGCTGCCAGGCAGGCTCTTGTCTTCAGCCCGGGGGAGGTACTTACCAGAGTCCTCCGACAGCACTGGCATGCTGGTGTTGTCACGTCCTGACCTCTCCCTGCAGATTCTGGGAGAAGGGGGTGGGGGTGGGTATTGAAGCTCCATCAAGCATATTTATTCAACAAACTGACTACACCTCTACTGTGTTCTCTGAGACCAAGCTGTGGACAGAGAAGATGGGAACAAATAACTCTGCTCACTTTTTTCAGAGAGGAAGGAAATAAAGCTAAGATGTGCTGAGTGTTCTCAATGTGCCAAGCATTGTGTGGGGTGATTTCTATGATAAATTTTTTGTCTGCACAAAGTCCTGAGAAAAGACTGTGAATGTTCCCATTTTCTTGATGAAGAAACAGCGGCGTGGAAGGGTTCAGAAAGTTGTGGGTCAAAATCCACATTCAAGCAGGCTCTTCCAGGCTGGCCTTGGAGGTGCCAAGTGACCCTGCCTGACAGTGTCTGCTGTCCTCCGCAGCGCACCCCCTCCACTAGAACCTTGTAAGAGCCCTGGCTCAAGCCCCCGCTGGGACCCACCTTCCACAACTACCTGGCTGGGCCTACAAGCCCCCTCTCCCCGACCCCCCAAGACCCAACCCAAAGGGAGTCTCCAGACTGGAGTGCAGAGAGGAGGGGGAGAAATGGGAGTCGGGCTTCCACTATGCGGGGGGGACCCCTATCTCAGGAGGCCCCCCAAGGTGCTCTGCAGCACGTGGACCTCAAAAAGTCCTCCTTAGGAAGAGGAGAAGGAGAGTCTTGATTGATTCATTCCACAAACATGGAGCCAGCCCGCGGCGCCGAGCCCCGGTGCCACTAAGAGGCATAAGAACCGCCCCGGGCCCTCCAGCCCCCGCCTCGCCCCGCCACGCCGGACTCACCCTTGGGCTGCTCCCCGCAGGAGGCCGAGCACCGACTCCCGCTCGCTCTCCGAAGGAACCTGTGGGACGAACAAGGAGCGCGCTGGGCGCAGAAGCGGCGACCCCAGGGGACCTCGGAGGGCGGTCCCGGAGGACGCAGAGCGGCAGGGAGCTGGGGGCGCGCTGCAGGGCGGGCGCGGGAAGAGGGAGGCGGGGGCCGAGGGGCGGGGCTGAGACCCCCGCGGTGGGCTCGGTGGGCCGCGAGGCTGCCTGGGAGCACGAGAGGAGGGTCTCGGCCCGGTCTCCCGCCCCTCCCGCCGCGGCGCCCAGCTCCCTCGTCCGTTGCCCGCGCCGCCTTCTACCTCGTCGCGCCGGGATGTGTGCTCCGCGAACGGGAGCCGCGCGGCTGCTCCGAGCCTGGGCCGCCGCTGGCTCCGCCTTCCTGGGCCCCTCCCTGCGGCTGCCGCGCAGGGCGGGGGTGGCGGAGCCTAAGGAGGCGCGGCGCGGGGAGGAGGCGGGGGAGGAGCAGAGGCCGCCCTCCGCGTCTGGCACCGCCGCCCCCCCGGGCCGGGCTCCGCTAGCCGGCGTCGTACCCCCTCCCGCTCTCCCGCTCCCTGAGCCCCCTGCCTGTGTCCCCCCCCGCCCTGGCACACAGCCAGCCTTCCCTTCCGGCCGCACAACCCACCCTCCTCGAGTGGAGGGGTGGACACCTGCTCAACAGAGAATTCGATTTTGCAAACATTTATTGAGCACCCTCCAGGTGCCAGGCGCTGTGCCAGGGGCCAGGGCTTCAAAGACGACCAAGGCAGAGATTCTGGGTTTGAAGATCTCCCGAGCTGGGGCTGGGGGCCGGTCGGATGCGAGGGCAACTCGCTGTAACAATGCAACGCGCTGGGAAAGATTTATCAGTGCACGCTGCCCTGAGGGCGCGGAGCAGGGGAGGAGAAGTCAGGCTGGAGAGAAGGGGGACTCCATTCTGCCCGGCTGCAGGGGGGTGAGGCTACATACCAGAGGCCACCAGCATCCAAGGGCTTTACTGGAAAAAGAGCTCTGAAATGGCCATGACAATAACTGACCTCCATTGTGCTGTCTCTACGCCCAGGTACTCCTCAGATCACTGCCCTTCACAGTAGTTCCTGATAGCAAGACCATTATTATTTTGGTTCTGCAATTGAGAAAACTGAGGTTCCAGGTGGAAGAATGTGTATAGGGGAGAGCATAGGAACTGCTGGGCGAGTGAACAGGTGGTTGTGGGTATTAGAAAGTGAGGAGTGGGTGAGTGAGTGGGCCCCCTTCCCTCAATCCCAGCAGCAAAGAACAGCACAGCACATGTCAGGAGAGGTGGACCCAGAGGTCAAGTCTGGAAGTAAATCCTTCCCAGGAACCAGGGAAAATGGGTTGGCAGGCCCCACAGGCTGTAGTGCATGGGGAGGCTGTGAGAGGCAGCAAATGTCATGATGACGTTTCCCTTCATTCCTCAAAAATTATCCTCATTCCTCAAAAAATATCCACACTATTGCCGCTCAAAATGTAACTTGCCTGAGACTCACTAGGGGGTTGTGTAATGCTGGGGTGGTGCCAGATTCTGAATTTCTAACAAGCTCCCAGGTGATGTGATGCTGCTGGTCTGCAGACCACACTTTTTGAGTGGAGAGAGACTGCATGAGACACATTTTTAGCTGCAATGCTTAGTGTTGGAAAGATAACGAGAACCATCTGATATGGGGTCAAATGATTTAGGACAAGAACACCAGGAAGTGATGCTGGAACAAGTAGATATTTATGTGCCTGAAGGGACCCAATCCCTACCTCACACCATATTCAAAACACGATTTAAGAGAGATCACTTGCCTAAATATAAAGCAAATTGATAAAGCTACTAGAAGAAAATAGGAGGCTATCTTTTAAATCTTGGGGTATGGAAAGATTTCCTAGAAAGGATGCAAAAAAGCCAGGCATGGTGGCATGAGCCTGTATCCCACATACTCAGGAGGCTGAGGCAGGAGAATTGCTTGAGCCCAGGAGTTCAAGGCTGCAGTGAACTATAATTGGTCCACTGCACTTCAGCTTGGGTGACAAAGAGACACCATCTCTTAAAAAGGAAAAACTAAAAAAAAAAAGCATGGACCCTGAAAACAATTGATAAACGGACCTCATCAAAATTTAAAACTCCTGCTCATCAAAAAACACTTGGCCTGGCACAGTGGCTCATGTCTGTAATCCCAGCACTTTGGGAGGCTGAGGCGGGTGGATCACCTGAGGTCAGGAAATTGAGACCATCCTGGCTAACACAGTGAAACCCCATCTCTACTAAAAATACAAAAAATTAGCCAGGCGTGGTGGCACACGCCTGTAGTTCCAGCTACTCAGGAGGCTGAGGCAGGAGAATTGCTTGAACCCTGGAGGTTGCAGTGAGCCAAGATCAGGCCACTGCACTCCAGCCTGGGTGGCAGAGTGAGACTCCATCTCAAAAAAAAAAAAAAGACCGGGCGCTGTGGCTCACGCCTGTAATCCCAGCACTTTGGGAGGCCCAGGCGGGCAGATCACAAGGTCAGGAGATGGAGACCATTCTGGCTAACATGGTTAAACTCCTTCTCTACTAAAAATACAAAAAATTAGCTGGGCATGGTGGCAGATGTTGCAGGGAGTGGAGATCACACCACTGCACTCCAGCCTGGGCGACAGGGTGAGACTCCGTCTCAAAAAAAAAAAAAAAACCTATTAAGAAAATAGGACCAGGGACCAGGTGCAGCGGCCCACACCTGTAATCCCTTCAAGCACTTTAAGAGTTCAAGGCGGGTAAATGGCTTGAGCCCAGGAGTTCCAGACTAGCATGGGCAACACGGCAAAACCCAGCCGGTATCTACTAAAATTACAAAAACTAACAAGGTGTGTTGGCTTGTGCCAGTAGTCCCAGCTGCTCAGGAGACTGAGGCAGGAGGATCACTTGAGCCTGGGAAGCAGAGGTTATAGTGAGCCATGATTGTGCCACTGCACTCCAGGCTGGGCGGCAGAGTAAGACCCTGTCTCAAAAAGAAAAGAAAAGAAAAGAGAAAAGAAAGAAGGAAAGGGAAGGGAGGGGAGGGAAGGGGAGGGGAAGCAAGGGAAGTAAGCCACAGACTGGGAGACTAGGAAGAAATATATCTGACAAAGAAATTGTATCCAGAATAAAGAACTCCTGTAACTCAATAAAAAGACAAACAACCCAATCAAAAAAACAGGCAAAAGAGATGAACACTCACTTCATAAAAGAAGATATACAAATAACCAATAAGCATATGAGAAAGCACTCATCCAACATCATCTGTCATCAAGGAAATGCAAATTAAAACCTGTCATAGTCAGTTTCTGCTGCTATAACAAAATACCACAGTAATTTATAAGTAATACAAATTTATTGCTTACAGTTCTAGAGGCAGGAAAGTCCAAGATCAAGGGGCCAGCCTGTTCAGTGTCTGGTGAGGGCCTGTTCCTCTCTGATGATGGCATTGGATAAGTATCCTCACATGGTGGAAGAGAAAGACGGGCATAAAGGGATGAACACTGTGTCCTCATGTGGCATAAGGGGCCAAAGGGGTTAGGGTGCTCCCTTCAAGTTCTCTTATAAGGGCATTAATCCCATTCAAGTGTCCATCAACAAGTAAATGGATAAATATCCATTCACTTGTGGTATATCCATACAATGGTATATTTACTCACCAATAAAAAGAAACAAACTACAACTCAAAGACTATCCCTACCATGCAACAACATGGATAAACGTCAAAATAGATTGGGCCAGGCACAGTGGCTCACACCTGTAATCCCAGCACTTTGGGAGACCGAGTCAGGCAGATCACTTGAGGTCAGAAGTTCAAGACGAGCCTGGCCTGGCCAACATGGTGAAACCCCATTTCTAGTAAAAAAAAAAAAAAAAAATAGCCAGATGTGGTGGTAGGCACCTTTAATTCCAGCTACTCGGGAAGCTGAGACACGAGAATCACTTGAACCTGGGAGGCAGAGGTTGCAATGAGCCAAGATTACACCACTGCACTCCAGCCTGGGCGACAGAACAAGACTCCATCTCAAAAATTAGATAGATAGATAGACTGAATGCAAGAAGGCAAACACAAAAGAAGTACATACTGTATGATTACTGGTGTGTTGTCATCTTGGTGCCATGACTGAGGTCAGAGGCCTTCATTAGGTCAGAAACCCACTTTATTATTTTTAAAAATTACCAAAGCTACCTCAAAAGAAAGATAAAATATTAATAGATCAATGTTACTAGAGTAGAGCTGTCAAGTGCTCCCTCAAAAATCACTAGGTCCTGCTAGTTCTGCAGGATAACTTCACCAAACATTTAAGGAAGAAACACATTTTAATTCTTCTAGAAGGTAGAAATAGAGGGAAATCTTCAAAATTCTTTTTGTAATAGCATTGATACTAAAACCTGTCAAAAAAGGCCAAAAAAAAAAACTTGCAAATGAGTCACATTTATAAATATTGGTGCAAAAGTCCTAAAAACTGTGTCAGCTAACAAATTCACCAGAGCATAAAAAGAATAACACCCCATGAGGAAGTAGAGTGTATTCTAAAAATGATTTAATATTTGGAAATTAAATTTTTTAATATTTGGAAAGCTATTACTCTCACTCCATGTAAGACAATCTATCAATAGGATAAAAAGTTAGACAGGGCATAATGACTCACGCCCATACTCCCAACTCTTTGGGAGGCCGAGGCAGGCGGATCACTTGAGGTCAGGAGTTTGAGACCAGCCTGGCCAACATGGTGAAACCCCATCTGTACTAAAAATACAAAAATTAGCTGGGCATGGTGGCACATGCCACCAGAGTTACTTGGGAGGCTGAGGCAAAAGAACTGCTTGAACCCGGGAGGTGGAGGTTGCAGTAAGTAGAGATCATGCCACTGCACTCCAGTCTGGGTGACAGAGCAAGACTCTGTCTCAAAAAAATAATTAAAACAAAAAAGTTGTTCTTATTAAAAGTAAATGGTCTAGGCCAGGTGCAGTGACTCACACGTGTAGGTGAGGCCAAGGCGGGAGGATCACCTGAGATCAGGAGTTCCAGCCTGGGCAATATCATGAGACCTCATCTCTAAAAAAATAATAATAATAAACAAAACTAGCCAGGTGTGGTGGCACTCATCTGTGGTTCCAGCCACTCAGGAGGCTGAGGTGGGAAGATTGCTTGAGCCCTGAGATGGAGGCTGCAATAAGCCATGATCATGCCACTGCACTCCAGCCTGGGCATCGGAGTGAGGCCTCATGTCTAAAAAACAAAAACAAAACAAAAGAAAAAGTAAATGGTCTAAATCCTCCAATTAAAAGGCAAGGATTGTCAGACTACATTAAAAAGCAAGACTTAATGTGCTTTCTAGAATAAACTCACTTGAAAAATAAAGACACAGATATCCTAAAAGAAAATGAATTTTAAAAAGATTTACCA